CAAGAATTTCTAAGCTAATGCAAAGTGAGTTTGAGATGAGCATGATGGGGGAGCTCTCATTTTTCTTGGGACTCCAAATCAAGCAAAGAAAAGATGGCATCTTCATTAATCAAGCTAAGTACGTCAAAGATATGCTCAAGAAGTTTGGACTGGAAAATGGGAAACCTCATAACACTCCAATGAGCTCTTCAACAAGCTTGACTTAGATGAAGGAGGTAAATGTGTAGATGTTAATTATATAGGTCAATGATTGGCTCTTTGCTTTATCTAACTGCAAGTAGACCGGACATTATGTTTAGTGTTTGCTTATGTGCTAGATTTCAATCATGTCCTAAGGAATCACATTTACTAGCTGTTAAGAGAATCTTTAGATACCTTAAGGACACTCCTAGTTTAGGACTTTGGTATCCTAGAGACTCTAGCTTTAGCTTGCATGCTTTTTCTGATGCGGATTATGGAGGATGCAAATTAGATAGGAAAAGCACCTCCGGTACTTGCCAATTCCTTGGAAATATGCTGATTACTTGGTTTTCAAAGAAACAAAATTGTGTTGCATTATCTACCACTGAAGCCGAATACATTTCAGCTGGTAGTTGTTGTGCACAAGTTTTATGGATGAAACAACAACTTTTTGATTATGGAATTGAAGTAGGTACTATTCCTATCAAGTGTGACAATACTAGTGCTATTTGTCTCACTAAAAATCCCATCCAACACTCTAGAACTAAGCACATTGAAATAAGACATCACTTCATTAGAGACCATGTCACTAAGGAAGATGTAGTTCTAGAATTTGTTGATACTTTGCACCAATTAGCGGATATCTTTACAAAACCCTTAGACAAGGAAAGATTTTGGACACTTAGGAGAGAATTAGGTTTGACCAACCTATCTTCACTTAGTGTTTAAAATAATTTTAGCACTTTTAATAAATCTTGAAAAATGCTTATAATAATATTTTTGATTGCATTCTTGCTATTAGTTAGGGGAGTTTGTGATTCTTAATGAAAATTAATTTTATGTTCAAAAATCAATTAAAGATTAATTTAATTATTTGAACATAATTAATGTTTGATATATGAGTTGCCAATACCACTAGAAAAGATTAATTTAGCATTTTGTGCTTAAAAAATCGGATTTTAGCATTTTGGTGCAGAGGGAATCGATCCCCCCTGAGGGAACCGATTCCTCCTTTGAAGGGGAACCGATTCCCCCCACAGGGGAATCGATACCCCCCTGGGGTTCTGTTAAAATCGACAGAACACCCCCAAAATCCCAAACCCTCATTTTCTTCTCTCTTCTGCCGTTTTTTCACCTCCTACACCCTCAAATCTCCATTTTTGTCTCAAATCGACGATATTAATCGGAATTTACTTCATATATCATCTTCTAAACCTGTTGAAATCATTAAAGTCGTGCAAACAACATCTAAATCCCCTCAATCTTCATCTTTCAAGGTAATTTTTCTAAACTCTTTATTTCATTATTTTTGAACATAGGATTAGTTTTAATTAGTTCTAGGTTGAAATAGTGATCGGGCATTGATTATTTAGTGATTAGAAACTAGATGTTACAACTAATTTCATCAAAAACACAAGAATTTTTCAATTTTTTTAATTTTCGAAATAAAAAAAAAATTGTTATTTTTCAAATTATTGTGTTTTGATTAAATTATGTTGTTATTATGAAAACTATACATATATTGTTTCTCAAAACCATATTTTTCAAAAGTTTCTCAAAACTTTGCCCATTAGGATTGATTTAGAGAACCTTGAAATATTGAGGACTCAATTGAGTTTTGGGATTAATTGAGTTGCATACATTTGTTTTAAAATTGCAGGTTATTCTATCTATTCCGATTTCCTTCATCATGTCAAATCCTAAACGTCCTAAGTCTTCATCTAGTCGTTCTAGTCGTCAACAAAATCCACCTCCAAATCCTCCTTCTATTCCAATTTCTAATCCCAATCCCACTGATCCTAACTTGACTATTCAAAATTCGTGTTTTAATCATCCTGGGTCTAGAAATCACCGATTTTGGTATTATCAATATTTCGATTCTTACAAAATCCGGGAAGAACGTATTCCTTCTCGTCAAGCTATGTTAGCTATCGATTTTAAATATCTTCCCATTTTACAAGAATGGAAATTTGATAAACTATTTGATCTTGAACCCATCGTTTACCATCAACTTGTTCGTATATTCTACTCTAATGTCGTATGTGTTAAAAACCAAGCTGAAACCGAAACCATAGGAATTCGTTCCTACCTCCTAGGACAATTCTTATATATTGACCCGGCATATATAGCCAATACATTTGGATTAGATAATGATGGTATCTCGAATGAAAAACAAATTTTAGGTTCTCGTTATAAAAGAAGAGATAGTGCGAGTGTCTTAGACCTACATGAGCGTTTTCTTCATCTAATGATTTCTTGGTGGTTTCGACCATCCGGAGGTCGTTATTCTACTCTTAGAGCTTTGGATATTTGGTGGTTACATTGTTTTGAAAACCGTATTAAAATTAACCTACCTCAGATTATTTTTGCTGAAATTGTTGAAACCGTAAATCTTGTTCCTAACAAGAAACACTGTTCATCTCTAGTTTACGGTTGCTTTTGAGTAATCTGTTTTCCAAAGCTGGGCTTAGAGTCGGTCTAGATGCCGTTTTTCCTCTTAAGAAACAAATAAATCTTCTTTCCTTAACGAGAGCGGGATGGGTAAAGGACAAAGAAACCGGTGAATGGGTTCGTTCTTCTACTCCGGGAGCTAGTTCTTCACAAGCTCCACCCGAGGCTGACGAAGATCCCGAGTTTGAACAATTAATGAGGGATATTGATGAAGCTGAAGAAGAACCTGAACAACCCGAAGAGCAGCCCGAGGAGCAAGCACAACAAACGCATCAAATGCCTCCATATTTTCAATCCTTTATGGAGACATTCGATTTCCGATACGCTACCATGGACTCGCGCTTTTCCTCTATAGAGTCTCATTTATCCACAATGGGAGCTCAACAATTAGATATTCTTCGGGAGATGCGTGCAAACAATGAATCAACCAACGCTCGTATCAATGAACTCACACGAGATGGCCGCTATGCGAGCCCGTTTTCCTCCTACCGATCCGGATGCTTAATTTATGTTTATCTTTAAAACTTTGAACAAAATGAATATTGTTTCAACATTTTGAATTGTTTGATTTTGTGGATTGTTGGATTTTGGATTTATGAATGGTGTGAACTTATATGTTTGGTGTTTTATTCATTTTTGCATCATTTACATTATCATTAGCAATATGACCAATTTTGCCATATCACATTATTTATGAATATTGATTTATGAAACTAATGGCTAACCTCTCTTTTGATTGTGATCTTAGCAGCTTAAGCTTATAATTAATAAATCAATTGGCTAAATGATTTTCAAAACCTTGTTTTACAATGTCTTTTTTGATTTAACAAAAGGGGGAGAAGAATAAGTGTTAATGTTTTACATGATAAATTGAAGAAGTGTTAAAGTAAGGGGGAGTAATTTCAAAACTTGATTTCAAAAATCTTAAAAATTACTAAAATGTTTTGTTATATCAAAAAGGGGGAGATTGTTGAAACATTTTAGTATTTCGATATAACAAATTAAGTTAAATGGATTTTAAGATTTTCCAAATGATTTTCTAAGTATATTCGATATAACTATTCGAATATCAAAACATTACTCCAAATATTTCAAAAATCATTTTTTGATCCTTACTTAAGTGTAAAATTAAGTTTTAATCATAAAACAATTTTAAAATAATTTTACAAAGTATTTCGAACCAATTCAAAGCCAAAAATTCCAGATTACTCAGAGGGAACCGATTCCCCCCCATAGGAGGAACCGATTCCCCCCCTGAATGGTTTGGCTCCGAGATTTCCAGAATGCTCGGAGGAACCGATTCCCCCCAAGGGGGTACCGATTCCCCCTGTTCAACGGTCGAAATATTTGAATTTTACACTTAGGGAACCGATTCCCTATGAGGGGGAACCGATTCCCCCACGCTCCAAGCTGTTTTATTAAATGTTTTCACACTAAAACGGCTATAATATCTTCTCTAATTATCCCCAACGTTCAGAAGTGATCCAAGGTGTATTTAAGCAAGCTTAGAAGCCATTGATCAAAAACAAGAAATATCAAGCAACTAGAATCAAGAGAGAATCAAAGAGAAAGCATCAAACCTCAAGTTTGAGCATTTCAAGCCTATTTTCATTCAATATTCATTTTGCTTTCAAGAACACTTTTTGTGCTCAATTGTATTCATCTTTGAGTGTTCTTTTCTTTGTTCTAGAATTGTGCAAACATCATACCTTGTGAGGTTTTCTTGTAAGTTTGCAAATTTGTAATCTTCTCTTTGAGAAAAGAGTGTTCTCAAGAGTTGGGGTATACTCTTGAGGGAATTGTAAGGTTATCTCTTTGACCTCAAAAGAAAGAACAAATTAGTGAATTTGTTGGAAAATCCTTAGTGTGGATAGCTAAGGTAGTGGACGTAGACTTTGTTTGAGAAAGTCGAACCACTGTAAATCGCTGTGCAAATACTTTCAATTCTCTGCAAAAGCTTCCACAAAATTTTTATTGCCAATTCACCCCCCTCTTGGCCAATTTCGTCATTCGATTAACTCAACACCTTGGTCCCTAAAATCCTGAATCCCAACAAAGTTTCATATTTTCACCCTATTTCATGTTGCTCTGTTATCTATAAGGCCATTACAAAGGTCATTGTTAAAAGGATGACCCACCTGCTGTCAAGGATTATTTCCTCAAATCAATCTGCTTTTGTCAAAGGTAGGAGCATTATTAACAATACTCTTCTTGCTCAAGAAATTGTGAAATGATATGGGAGGAAAACCATCTCACCTAGGTGTGCCCTGAAAATTGACCTTCAAAAAGCTTTTGACTCAATTCACTGGGGCTTCATTCCTACTATTCTTAAGGCTCTTGAAATTCCTAATATTTTCACAGAGTGGATTATGGCTTGTTACTCTGGTGCAAATTATTCAATCGCCTTTAATGGAAGCTTGATTGGGTATTTTAAGGGTGCTAAGGGACTTAGACAAGGTAACCCTCTTTCTCCAATCTCGTTTGTCATGGTTATGAATATCTTATCCAAATTACTCAATAATGTTGCTGCAAAAGGGATCTTCAGCTTCCATCCTAAATGCAAGAAAATATGTCTTATTCACTTAACTTTTGTTGATGACTTACTAATTTTCTACAAAGGTAATCTGGAATCTGTCATGTGAGTCATTACTGTTCTTGATTACTTCTATGAACTTTCTAGTCTCAAGCTTAATGCTGCTAAATGTGATATCTTTATTGCTGGTATTTCTGTTCAATCCCTTGATAATATTATTAATACTTCTGGTTTTAAGCATGGAACATTACATGTTAGATACTTGGGGATCCCTCTTGTCACAAGAAAACTTACTGTTAAAGACTGTCAGCCTCTCATAGACAAGATCAAGTTCAAACTTCATCAATGGTTCAGGATGAAAATGAGCTATGCTGGCAAATTGAAGCTTGTTAAAACAATTCTTTGTAGTATTGCCAACTACTAGTGTAGGCAACTTATTTTGCCTCAATCCATCATCAACAAGATTAAGAAAATTTGTTCGAGATACTTCTGGAAAGGTTCAAACATTCCAGCTGTTGGAGCAAGAGTGAGCTGGGACAGAATTTGCAAACCTAAGTCTGAAGGTGGACTTGGTCTCAATGACATCAAGTCTTGGAACAAAACATGTATGATACTTCTCATTAAGAATTTACTTGCAGTGGAGAGTTCACTATGGGTTGCTTGGATTCACAGTTATTTAATCAAGAATCAGGATTTCTGGCTCATGGAATAACCTCTGAATTCTAGCTGGATCCTAAGAAAAATTATGAAACTTCGAATTATTGCTCAACCTCTTCTTGTTTCAGGAGCAACGACTACAAATGAATTTTGGGAAGAGGTTCGACTGAAAGGTAGTAAAGTCCATTGGCAAAAATCTGATTTGGTATTCACTCCACATTCCCAGTCACAACTTGATTTCATGGATGGTAATTTTGGATCGTCTTCCTACCAAGGATAGGCTGCAACGATTTGGTATTGATACTAATGATCAGTGCATTCTCTGCTCTGAAGCACGGGAAACCAAAGATCACATATTTGCTGAATGTAAGATGGTTGCTTCAATCTGGAATTCAATTCTTCAGCTTACTGGTATACATAAACCTCCTTTCACTTGGACTAATTTACTAGTCTGGGCATACAACACATGGAAAGGAAAATCACTGCTTACTAGTATCCTGAAACTTTCTTGATGCACTTTCAACTATACCATATGGGAAGAAAGGAACCGAAGGCTTTTTAGAGGAACCTACAGATCCGAGGAAGAGATTTTGGACTCAATCAAGCAAATTGTAGGAACTCAACTTAGTAATAGAAATGTTAGTAGATTAGATAACACCAACTTATCTCTTTGTAATCACTGGGTATAGTATATTTTTGTTGTAAAAAGGTCCTCTTTCCTTTGTTCCTTTGATGAATTGGTTTGCAGTTTTATGTTATTTTTTTGGGTAATAAAATCTTAATTTCCAAAAAAAAAAAAAAAGAAATCTACCAGAGAAATTAAAAGTAGGAAAAAACCAATAATATCAAATAATCGCGAAATAATAACAATCCAGCCTTAAAACAAAATAAAACACTACAAAAGCAAAATAAAGCATACTACATAAACATATAAAAAAGCATCTAATATTTGTATGAAAAGGAAAAATTTACTAAGACAAAATTAAAAATTCCAAATAGATAAAAAAATTTAGAGATATGAATAAATAATAGATGAAAAATAAAATGAGTCAATAATTGATTATATTATTATTATTATTATCAACAATCAATTAGTCTAGTGAGACGTAGGCCTGTAAATGAACCGAACAAACACGAACGGGGATATGTTCATATTCGTTCGTTTAACTTTAACTGAACAAATGAACGAACATAAACATAAACGAACAAAAAATTTCTTATTCGTGTCTGTTCGTTAAGGAATGTAGTTTGTTCGTGTTCGTTTCTGTTTGTTCATTTAAATGATAAAACGAACATAAATGAACGAACATAAACGAACGGATGTAAAAGAACACAATAAATGAACATAAACGAACGAACGTAAACGAACACAATAAATGAACATAAACAAACGTAAATGAAAATATTTTTTTTTCTTTGCTAACAATTTTAGGATTATATTATATTTAATTGTTTTGGGCTTTTTTATTTGTATTTAAAATTAATTGATTTTTAAAATATTTATGGGTATCAGATTAAAATTTATTGGGCTTTAATATTTTAAATGGGTCTAGAGAGATTGTGCTAAACATAAATGAACGCACATAAACGAACATAAACGACCATAAATGAATGAACATAAACGAACATAAATGAATGAACATAAACGAACATATTATCGAACGTTTATGAACGTAAATGAACGAACGAGCCATATGTTTGTGTTCGTTCATTTAATTAAACGAAAACAAAATATTGTTCATGTTCGTTTGTTTAATAAATAAACAAACATAAAAGAACTTCCCGCCGAACAGTTCGCTAAACGTTCGGTTCGTTTATAGGCTTAATGAGATGATACACTGAATCTATTAAGCAAAGTCAATAATTTAAATCTTAACGTTTAGGAATGAAACAAATTAAATTAGAAATGTTATCCTTACCTCTATAATATCTAATCCAAATTATCGTTTGATAAATCAGTATCGATAGTCATAAAAAGTTATATTGTCATTAATGATAATCTGTTAAATTTATTGATTTTAATTCATAAAAGATTCAAGGTCAGATAAACTGTATCTTATACATATTGAGAAATAAAATTACACCATAGTACCTATAGTTTGACGCGAACCAGATTTAGTAGTCAATAAAAAGATTTTAGGGTGAGATAAAAAACATATTATATATTAAAAATATACATCATAGTACCTATGGTTTGACTCTCCGACGTGAGCCAATCAGTCATCAACCGATGGCTTTTCTACGCGGTGATGAGATCAACAATTTAAATATCAATTTAATAGTCTTGAATCTCATTTTTCTATTTCTTTTAATAGTCTCGAATAATTACAAGATCATACTTCCACCCGGATCGTATGATCAATAACCTGTAACCTGAACCGAACCTGAACGAGACGATTAAGGACCACATCATCAGGAAGACCTGGAATAACAGGTTCTCCTTGAAGAGACAACAATCGAACCCTTTGCATCTCTCTCTCAAAGCAGAGCAATCTACATCCTTGAAGACCCACCCAAAGGACCTTGTTTAAGCTAGGAATTTCCTGATGTTCTTCAAATGGATTTACTTGTGAATTGAACAACTTCACAGCAAGAAATCTTTTCACTAGTTTTATAGATGCACCTAAAACAAATTGCACAAAATCCTTCCAAGACCTCATCAAAGATAACAACTTCAATTTTATTATATCACTTTGGCCAATCAAGATACAAATTAGAGGAATCTAAAGCAATCAAAAACCAGGCCTTCAATACACCAATACTATCATGAATAGAACTCTAGAAAATATCTAAATTTCTGCTTCTAATTCAATAGGAAGAAACGAAACCCAAGAATATGCATCTTAGAGGGACAACGTTCTGATGCAGGGTTTACAACCAAATTCTCTGGTTGCATTGCATACATGGCAGAACACAAAACCTAAAGCTTTTGCTTTGTTTTCTCTGGTTTTCCCATCAACCAAACAAAGCCAAATGAATTATAATGCCAAAATCAGCTTTGCTTGCTTCCTCTTATTTTTCATCAGTCAAACAAAGCTAAATGAATTATAAAAGATATTTTATACCTCATCCAGTATAAACTATCTTTGTAATCCCAGAAATATACTCTCAAGCTCCAGAAACCTTGAAAAAATATAATTTCTATTAATTTTCTTACTATTTGCATTCAAGTTCTCACCAACCGAACAATCCTATGCTCTGATGGAATGCCCAATTCAATGAATATATTTAATCTCAAAATTCCAGTAAAAAAGCACATGATAAAAGAAAATCGCAAAAAAAAAAAACTCCTTACTTTTCCTTCGTTTCACTTCATTTTTTGGGGAACCGGACGTCTCCCATCCACAAAGCAGCTGACCGTACATGTTTAAACTCTTAAAATCAGTTAACCATTTATCAAATTGACTATAGAATCTCACTCAAACAGGCAAAACCCTTCGAGTGTGTTCCGAATTGGATCGGGATCGGAGCAGCCTATTCCACAAAGAAAGCGTCATTGCAGCTACCAAAACCCCGAGGAAATCGGCGACGGCATCTCTGGCGGAGGCACCAGCAGAGGGGAAAATCCCGAGATGATCAGCAGCCTCTTTGGCAGCGCCAGCTAGGAGGGGAGGATGGATCCGCAGCCTCTTTGGCAGCGCCAGCTAGAGGGAGAGGATGGATCCGAACCGAATAGAATGGTTACGGAGAAAGGGTAGCGGGATACCGAAGCTAAAGCGGAGAAGAAGGGTTAGAAAGAAGCAGAATAGGAAATGGTAGAGTTTGTCGGGTGCTAACCATGGATCTTTGTCGTCGTCGTCGTTCATATCACCGATTTTTCGAAGAAAAAGATTCATATTACTGGATTTTGATTCATAACGGCGGGTTTTATATGGGTTTAGAATGGATTTTGATTCAGTCTCTATTCATGATAACATCCTGAGCATGGCGATTGTACCTCAAGGTCAAGATTGCCATATAATGAATCATCGATATCTTGCAAGCTAAATTATGGGTAATTTTGGTTATGTGTTGCAAGTTAAAGTGATTACAATCAACATTTATCATCTTCGCGATTATTAGTGTTTAAACTCGTATATCTAGAGATAATAACATTTTTTTAATCATTTAAATAAGTTAGTGTTGCAAGTTATTAATTTTTTAATATTGGAAAAAAATTTAAAAGTAATATATATGGATCGATCGTTGTATTAAATAAATAATATATGGATCGAAGTCACACATGACAGGCCTACCTCCTCAAGTGCGAGTATACCAATCTTCGTCTTCCCCAAGTCCAGAACAAGAGTAAAACCCTAATTCCAAATTCCCCCCAATTTGACAGCAATGGATCAATACGAAGAGCAAGAGCACGAGGTGTACGGAGGGGAATCCCTGAGGAGGAAGGAGATATGGATGCGGAGGTGGACATGTCTGTGGAGCTGAGGCCAACGAACAAGATCCTAGTTCCAACTCCAAAGTTGCCTCTTTCTTTTACTTTAGCTTTTCCCTGGATTTAGCTGAGCTTTTTTTTCTCTTAGTGAATAACATATTGCTTTTGAAATTTTAGGACTTGGAAGATATGAAAAGAAGACTTAGAGAGATCGAGGAAGAGGCGGGGGCTTTACGTGAAATGCAGGCTAAAGTTGAGAAGGAGATGGGCTCTGTCCTGGTTCTTTTAATCTTTTTCCTTTTGAGTTTGTATTTGATCTGATTTTTTTTTTCTCTATATTTTTTACAAGTTTGACTTTGATTGGATATCCTTTTTTTTGTTCGAGAAAGAGAATATCTTCTTAATCTTGAAAATGAAATTAAACTTTACTGATTTCATTTCCTTTGAATTACGGAGTGTTTTGTGTATGATTTGTTAGTTCTAGTAAACTGATTTGTTTTTACTTTATTTTCCTGGATTTCTATGAAGATTCCTCAAGTGCTTCTGCAAGTCAAGCTGAAAAGGAGGAAGTGGATTCCCGCTCGATTTATGTTGGTAATGTGAGGTTTATCAACCCTTGCCCATGCCTTCTTTTATGAACTTCTTATAAATGTTTATTGGTTCAGTTGTCTCATTTACCTCACCTGCGGGTCCAATAATATCTTTATGATCCAAATTTACTTATAAGTAAGCTAAAAGTAAGATTCTGCTTAGTTTGGCCAATCAGGATACGGGAATACTTTTTGCCATTTTGGTCCTATTTGGTTTTATGTATGTGCATATGGGGTAGCTTGAAAATGCTTTTTTATATGCATGCAATTGCATTGACAATCGTGTCTTAGTTTTGTTCGGATGTCAAGTTAAATGTGATTCGACAAATTTGATCCGCCAGAACTTATTTTGATGAAATATCAATATGGTTTGTATTTCAGTATACAAATTCGACTAACAATCCATCTCAGTGTAGTAACTAAATGATTTCTCCATGCTTGCAAACAAATGATCTGGATTGGCCAACTCTTGTTTTTCTTTCTAACAACAGGTAGACTATGCGTGTACACCAGAGGAAGTTCAACAGCATTTTCAATCCTGTGGAACGGT